TCAAAACTATTCAGAAAATAAATAAATAAAAAATTTAAGTTGAATTATAAAGTAAAATATACGCCTTAATGAAACTCTTTCTTGTATTATTTGACTAATAATATTTTAATAATTTTAATTTTTAGACTATCTATTTATTATGTTGTCCAACTTGAAGAGCATAAATCTCTTCATATAATATTAGAAGCATTTTTTTCTTTACGTTAATTTGATTGATCAAAAGCAATCTCTAGTTTCTTTTCTTTTTTTTTTTGTTAACACATGCCCTGATGCCCCTGGGTGGAGGTTATACCATTGTAGTGGATAAATTTGATGAATAAATTACAATGCAGCCGTGCAGGACAACCGACCAAGATTTGCTGTAAGATTTTGCCTATCACAAGGTGAATTGCCCAAATTTGCATCAACAGTGAAAATGCCCATACGCTCCAACAGATATGAAACTTTTCTCTCTCTCCATCTCCCTCTCTTTTTTGTTTGTAAATGGCAACACACTCATCTCAAGAGAGAAAAAGGAAAAAAATTAGTGTAACGTGGGATGCAAATGCTATCTACTTCACAATTTTACTAATTTCATAGAGTTTTCCTGATTTTATAAGTTGGAGGGGATATGAATTTACGTGATACTAAATATTTTTTTTTTTTTAAAAGAACGTAATATTTAAAGATAATGATTGATATATCTTTTAATTTAATAGACCTAATAACATTAATCGGTTAATTTTTTAAAATTTGCTTTTGAAATTTTTTTTATCTTGAATTCAAATTGAAAATATTAGATTGTTAATTACTAAACTTATAAATGTTGTTAGATATGTTAAATTATATGATATATCAATCATTATCTAACGTTCAAATTTAATTCTATTGGGATGTCAACTTGGTATCTCACACTGTATTCTCTTAAAGAAAGTCTTCAATGCAACAAAAAGCCCCGTAAGAGGTACGCATGTGGTATTTTCTGTTAATAGAAAGATGATACTTTAATAGATTTTTAATTAATTATATCAACAATAAAATTGTGACATGATGAGATTTTTATATGACAAAAAACTAAATATTTTTGCTAGGTTTGTGATAATGTGGAACTTAAAATTTCTTATGTGTTAGGTTGCTCATCTTTATCATCTGATCAAAACCAGGATATGCAGTGAAGCCTTAATTATATAAATTTGCAAATCAAAGTTACCTAAAATGAGCATCGAGTGAAATGTGGGCTTGGGTTGCTTGATTCCGATAAACTCATTTGGCATTGGTTCTTTCTGCTCCAGATTGTGGCACTTTTCTCTCGTAATCTTTCTCTTTTTTGATCCCTTGGTATGTCAAGTATCATCAACTAACTTGGGGGTGCCTTCATTTGGTGCTACAAATGATTGGGGGCAGCAACAAAATCAGCTCCTTTTTGGTTTTGGACATGATTAAGTTAGGGTTTGTGAGATTTGGGGCCTACCCTTGAAAGGGAAAGATGAATATGCCAAAAAAGTCTTTGTTATTATTACCAATGTTTGCCATTACAAGTTACCATGTTTTGAAATTTTCCAACTAGGTAATTATGTTTAAAATAATTAGGTTTGAAAATGCCAAACAAATACATACAATACCATCTTATTCCGTGATCAAAGTCACCCATTTATTAGTAATATGCTTCTTTCCTGGAAGCTTCAGTACTCTCAATTAAAGAATTTTGAAGTAATTGCACCGAAATTTGTGGATGTAATAGATATGAGATACACTTGTATCTCCTTAATAAAATATTTTTATTTGTTGACCAAAAAAATTACACTAAAAATTATAATTCAATTAGTAAGATGCATGTTCTTGCCCCTTTTTGTCATAGATGGGTTTGAATCCCTCTACCATCAATATAAAAAAATGAAATTATATGCTGACTATTACCCTTATGCTGTGCCAGTGGCATTCATCACTACAATGAATATTGGTTAATTGGATATTGGATGGGACCAACTTGGAGTCCCTCTCACGGCCTAGCCATGAATCCAGTCAATAATATTTAGGAAAGGGTTCAGTGGAGTGTCAGGCCTCATTAAGCTTGGGCTCAAATGATGGCCTAAAAGAAGCTTGGGCCTTTCGTTGTTCTAATTGAACCATTCAACCATGCTTCTTTTTTTTTTTTTTCCAAAATAAAATCATGTTCTTATTTTCGGCTAAAATTCGAACCTTTTTAATTAAATTTACGTAATTTTCCTTTTGTTTGGCTTCCTTCAGATTGAACTCAGCATTATAATTTTGAAAGATTAAAAAAAACACAACCAACAAATTTTGCTAAAATTTCATCAACCATATTGTTATTTATTTGATTCATCATGGGGTACAAATTTTCCG